AACAGTGCATTAGTGTTCGCAATAAAGCTAACAGAATTCTTGGCTTCATATCTAGAAGTATAAATAATAGATGCCCTCAGGTTGTTCTTCAACTCTATATATCCTTGGTTACGCCTCATTTAGACTATGCTGCTCAGTTCTGGTCACCGTATTACAGAATGGATATAAATGCTTTGGAAAACGTATAGAGGAGGATGACAAAGATGATCCCATGTATCAGAAATCTTCCCTATGAGGATAGACTGAGGGCCCTGAATCTGTACTCTCTTGAAAGGCGTAGAATTAGGGGGGATATGATCGAAGTGTATAAATGGAAAACAGGAATAAATAAAGGGGATGTAAATAGCGTGCTGAAAATTTCCAGCCAAGACAGGACTCGCAGCAATGGTTTCAAGTTGGAAAAATTCAGATTCAGAAAGGATATAGGAAAGCACTGGTTTGGTAATAGAGTTGTGGATGAGTGGAGCAAACTCCCGAGTACAGTTATTCAGGCTAAAACGTTGTGTAGCTTTAAAAATAGGTTAGATAAATACATGAGTGGGTGTGAGTTGGACCTGACTAGCTTGTGCTGCTGGGTCTGGTGCAGTGCCCCATCCTTGAGTGGAGATGATCAGACTGGGTGGGTCACGGGGCTAATCCGGGGGGGTCATTGGTCTAATCCGGGGGGGGACATGGACCTGATCCGCATGGGTCAGTAGGCCTGTTGCAATGTTCCTTCTTTCTTATGTTCTTATGTTCTTATGTATGTGTGTGTCATCTCCACAGTGTTGTATGTGTGTGTCATCTCCACGGTGTTGTATGTGTGTGTCATCTCCACGGTGTTGTATGTGTCTGTCATCTCCACAGTGTTATGTGTGTCTGTCATCTCCATAGTGTTATATGTGTTGTATGTGTGTGCCATCTCCACAGTGTTGTATGTGTGTGTCATCTCCACGGTGTTGTATGTGTGTGTCATCTCCACGGTGTTGTATGTGTGTGTGTCATCTCCACAGTGTTGTATGTGTGTGTCATCTCCACAGTGTTGTATGTGTGTGTCATCTGCACGGTGTTGTATGTGTGTGTGTCATCTCCACGGTGTTGTATGTGTGTGTCATCTCCACGGTGTTGTATGTGTGTGTGTCATCTCCACGGTGTTGTATGTGTGTGTCATCTCCACGGTGTTGTATGTGTGTGCGTCATCTCCGCAGTGTTGTATGTGTGTGTCATCTCCGCAGTGTTGTATGTGTGTGTCATCTCCACAGTGTTATGTGTGTCTGTCATCTCCGCAGTGTTGTATGTGTGTGTCATCTCCACAGTGTTATATGTGTGTGTCATCTCCGCAGTGTTGTATGTGTGTGTCATCTCCACAGTGTTATATGTGTCTGTCATCTCCGCAGTGTTATATGTGTCTGTCATCTCCATCTTTCAGTGCTGATAATAACATTTAGCAATATTTTCCACAGATAAGCCCCATTTCACCGCCGTATATAATAATCTTAGAGCTCAAAAAAGGATCATACATAGACCTCATGTCCGTTCTCTTAATAAACGTAATATACTGATGAATTGCATTATTTTAAAGCACACTACGGAAATATATTAGGCATTTCTTTCAGCACAATAAGTTAACTAGCATTTTCAAAGTTAATTATAATGCCTTTATGAAGACTGGATGAAATGAGGGAAACAGCGACAGGTTCTGGATACAACTGAAGGATAAAACGAGAACGACAGAACTAGACCATAAGGAAAACGCTCTTGGGAAAATTTGGTACAGATATGGAGGCCAGACTGAATGAGTCGCATCTCCTGGTAACGTTGTAAAATATTCATTACCAGAGCTTAAGTGAGGAGAACTAAGTACTGAGGCTGAGCCAAGACTAGAGAGTATTGAAGGTGACAACATATTCAAGAACACTCATGGTAAGACCTAGGTATGACCCACGGGAGGGGCGAGACTTGCTGCCCATGTTCACATTGCCGTAAATGGATACCTGGGTGTTAGTCAAGGCTTGTGGGTCACATAATGAGAAAGAGAGCCCAAGGGTTCCAACTATCTTGACTCTTTAAGAGGAGTAATTTAATGCTGATATAGGGCTCTTGATCCAAAGAATTTGGAGCTTTTCTCCCTTGTCTCAGATCAAACTTGCTCGCCCCCATGCACCTCGTTTGTCAGGCGATGTACGTATGACGTTCCTATGAACTTATGAAATAATTAGCTATCTTGATTATCGTATGTTATCTTTCCGGAGTTAGTGACAAGAAGGATGTAATCTTTTTCTTGAATGGGTGAGAAAGTCAGCAGGTCAGCAGTCAGCAAGTCAGCAGGTCAGCAGGTCAGCAGGTCAGCAGGTCAGCAGGTCAGCAGGTCAGCAGGTCAGCAGGTCAGCAGGTCAGCAGGTCAGCAGGTCAGCAGTCAGCCACATTACTGAAACAAATTTCAATAAGACAAAAGCTTCGTTGCCAATTAATTCGTTAATTATTGAAAGCATTTCGCCAAGGTTGGAGACAAAGCAATTTCCAAAATAGCAATAAGACTGAGGATGACATAGGAACTTTTCACTTTGTTTCTGGAAGCAAAGAGCAGAACGTGCAAAGGAAGACTACGACCACGCATGCAAGGTCTTCAAGGAGAAACTGTCTTCCCTAAAGGTTACGGCGCCGGTGGTGCCGGAGAGCAGAGAAGTAATCCTGACCGGCTGACTCAGACGACAGGTCCGGCACTGATAGTTACTGTGCTCACTTATGTGTGCTTGCAGGGGTCAAGACACAGTTCCTGTTCCTCGAGACTACTGTGAAAATGAAAAGATCATATGTCTAATAGATTTGTAAATGTGATAGAAGGGTGGTAGACAATAATCTCCCAGGGAGGTGCTACCGTTCTTTCATATGAATATAAAACACACACACACACACACACACACACACACACACACACACACACACACACACACACACACACACACACACACACACACACACACACACACACACACATACACACACACACACACTCAGAAGTGTCCCTGTTTGCAGATGATGTGAAGTTAATGAGGAGAATTAAATCTGATGAGGACCAGGCAGGACTTCAAAGAGACCTGGACAGACTGGACACCTGGTCCAGCAAATGGCTTCTCGAATTTAATCCTGCCAAATGCAAAGTCATGAAGATAGGGGAAGGGCACAGAAGACCACAGACAGAGTATAGCTAGGTGGCCAAAGACTGCAAACCTCACTCAAGGAGAAAGATCTTGGGGTGAGTAACACCGAGCATGTCTCCGGAAGCACACAATCAATCAGATAACTGCTGCAGCATATGGGCGCCTGGCAAACCTGAGAACAGCATTCCGACACCTTAGTAAGGAATCATTCAAGACACTGTACACCGTGTATGTCAGGCCCATACTGGAGTATGCAGCATCCTGTTTGGAACCCGCACTTGAGTAAAGCATCGTCAAGAAACTAGAGAAAGTACAAAGGTTTGCAACAAGGTTAGTTCCAGAGCTAAGGGGGAATGTCCTATGAAGAAAGATTAAGGGAAATCGGCCTGACGACACTGGAGGACAGGAGGGTCAGGGGAGACATGATTAACGACATATAAAAATACTGCGTGGAATAGACAAGGTGGACAAGGACAGATGTTCCAGGGAGGGGACACAGAAACAAGAGGCCACAATTGGAAGTTGAAGACACAAATGAGTCAGAGAGATAGTAGGAAGTATTTCTTCAGTCATAGAGTTGTAAGGCAGTGGAATAAGCCTAGAAAATGACGTAGTGGAGGCAGGAACCATACACAGTTTTAAGACGAGGTTTGATAAAGCTCATGGAGCGGGGAGAGAGAGGGTCTAGTAGCAACCGGTGAAGAGGCGGGGCCAGGAGCTAGGACTCGACCCCTGCAACCACAAATAGGTGAGTACAAATAGGTGAGTACACACACACACACACACACACACACACACACACACACACACACACACACACACACACACCATACACACACCACACACACACACACCACACACACACACACACACACACACACACACCACACACTACACCACACACCCACACACACACACACACACACACACACACACACACACACACACACACACACACACACACACACACACACACACACACACACACACACACACACACACACACTACACACGCACACACACACACACACACACACACACACACACACACAACACACACACACACACACACACACACACACCATACACACACACACACACACACACACACACACACACACACACACACACACATACACACACACACACATACACACACACCCACACACAAAACGAGCGGTAGGATGATAAACATTAACCATCGAGAGAAAATACAACTCTCCTGCCATGCAAGTGTTGTGTGGAGACCTGTTAAATGCTTTACGTTCTGGCCAAACCACGAGTCTTGTGTCTGTCTCACGAACATGTTGGAACAGAGGTAAATCATACACACTTCTATTTACCAAATAGCGGCCAGCGGAGAGGCGGGAACAGGAGCTGAGACCAACCTCTGCAACCTACAAATAAGGGGTTAGCAACGCACTTGCCTCATACGCTGAGTGTCCGATGTTCAATCCCCGGCACGGGTAGAAACACTGGACATGTTTCTTTACACCTGCTGTCCTTCCCTGCTCACCTACCTGCAAATTGGGGTCCTTTAATTCTGTCCCTCAGGACAAAATTAAAGGACCCCAATGGAAATAAGACAGACAGTTTCGATGACGCACTGACTTTCTTGGGTTATCCTGGGTAGCTAACCTTCCGGATTAAAAATCCGAACAAATCTTATTTTACTCAAGAGACTCACGTTCACAAACGGGCGCATAAAAAAAATAAATCCACACAAAAATCTTCTCAGAGACTCACAAAGGCAAACGAAAAATTCAGTGAAAAAGAAAAATATGAAAATGACGATGCTTTGATGTGCGAGTGCAATTATCCTCGGGTATATAATTAGATCAAGGTAAAAACTGTACTGGGCGTCCCTCATGTTACTTGACGCTGTTGTGGTCAACACAGCGCACCCAGCACATCCTTATAGACCTGGCCAGCACAGCATAGAACACAGCTATCACATCCATATACACGTGACCAACACATCATGGAATACAGCCACAGCATCCTCATACACGTGACGAGCACAGCAAGTAACAACCACAACAATCTGATACACCTGTCCAACACAGCACGTAACACAACCACAACATCCTGATACACCTGGCCAACACAGTAATTAAAACCCAACACAACCTTATACACCTGACTAGCACAGCAAGTAATACTCAAAACATCCTGATATATCTCCCTTTAAATAACTTCCTCTCTCGTCACAGGCTGTTGGTGTTCGGTGCAGGTGTTCGAATTCCAAGCCAGAGGGGAGCAGTCAGACAGCCATTTACAATACGGAGACAAGCTGGCCTTCCCGCCCCTCGACTCTCTGTCCTTCTGCGTGAGGCTGAGGTTCTACTTCCTGTGGGAGGTGTCCGGCTTCTTGCAAGTCTCCGACAACTCGACGGGTCAGGTGATACACACCATACAGGCAGGTGAGTAATGGTTCTTGTATAAATGAATAATGTGTAAGTTGATTTTCACAAAATACGTGGCCGATACAAGGTTAGATAGCATTCGTACAAACGGCAGAGCTCAGATTATGTAGAGCTCTATAGACAGGCTGGGATGTACCCTCTAGAAAAGGAATTTGTGTATATTTCAGGACATAAATTAAAGGCAACGTTTCGCCAGGAGTGGCCTCGTCATTAGGACTGATGAAGACAATCGTGGCGTAACGTTGCCCTAAAAAAATGTTCTGAATTGTACACGTTTTTTTTTTTTTCACATTTTGTTGGTACCACCAAATTATTTACAAACTGGGAAGTAACTTTCTGTCTCAGATGTGAGTCTGGCAGTTTCATAGCCTAGGGATTTTAGGGGTTTAGGTTATTTTCAGGTGTGTGGAAGTGAGGGACGAGTGTGTGCAAGCTTCAGGTGTGTGGAAGTGAGGGACGAGTGTGTGCAAGCTTCAGGTGTGTGGAAGTGAGGGACGAGGGTGTCCAGATTTCAGGCGTGTGGAAGTGATGGACTAGTGCGTGCAAGTTTCAGAAGTGTGGAAGTGAGGGACTAGTGAGCAAAGGTTTCAGGTGAGTGGAAGTGAGGGACGAGTGTGTGCAGTTTTCAGGTGTGTGGGAAGGACTAGTGTGCACTGGTTTCAGATGTGTGGAAGTAAGGGACTAGTGTGTGCAGGTTTCAGGTGTATGGGAAGGACTAGTGTACACTGGTTTCAGATGTGTGGAAGTGAGGGACTAGTGAACAAAGGGTTCAGGTGTGTGGAAGTGAGAGACTAGTGTGCACAGGTTTCAGGTGAGTGGAAGTGAGGAACGAGTGTGTGCAGGTTTCAGGTGTGTTGAAGTGAGGGACTAGTGTGCACAGGTTTCAGGTGTGTGGCAGTGAGGGACTAGTGTGTGCAGGTTTCAGATGTGTGGGAAGGACTAGTGTGCGCTGGTTTCAGATGCGTGGAAGTGAGGGACTAGTGTATGCGGGTTTCAGGTGTGTGGAAGTGAGGGACTAGTGTATGCAGGTTTCAGGTGTGTGGAAGTGATGGACTAGTGTATGCAGGTTTCAGGTGTGTGGAAGTGACGGACTAGTGTGTGCAGGTTTCAGGTGTATGGAAGTGAGCGACTAGTGTGTGCAGGTTTCAGGTGTATAGAAGTGAGGGACTAGTGTGCACAGGTTTCATGTGTGTGGAAATGAGGGGCGAGTGTGTGCAGGTTTCAGGTGCGTGGAAGTGAGGGACTAGTGTGTACAGGTTTCAGGTGTGCAGAAGTGAGGGACTGGTGTGTGAAGGTTTCAGGTGTGTGGAAGTGAGGGACGAGTGTATACAGGTTTCAGGTGTGTGGAAGTGAGGGACGAGTGTATACAGGTTTCAGGTGTGTGGGAGTGAGGGACGAGTGTGTGCAGTTTTCAGGTGTGTGGAAGTGAGGGACTAGAGTGCACAGGTTTCAGGTGTGTTGAACGTGAGGGACGCGTGTCTGCAGGTTTCAGGTGTGTGGAAGTGAGGGAATAGTGCGTGCAGGTTTCAGGTGTGTGGAAGTGATGGACTAGTGTGTGCAGGTTTCAGGTGTGTGGAAGTGAGGGACGAGTGTATGCAGGTTTCAGGTGTGTGGAAGTGAGGGACGAGTGTACACAGGTTTCAGGTGTGTGGAAGCGAGGGACGAGTGTATACAGGTTTCAGGTGTATGAAAGTGAGGGACGAGTGTGTGCAGGTTTCAGGTGTGCTTAAGTGAGTGAAAAGTTTGCACAGGTTTCAGGTGTGTGGAAGTGAGGGACGAGTGTATACAGGTTTCAGGTGTATGGAAGTGAGGGACGAGTGTGTGCAGGTTTCAGGTGTACTTAAGTGAGTGAAAAGTTTGCACAGGTTTCAGGTGTGTGGAAGTGAGGGACGAGTGTATACAGGTTTCAGGTGTATGGAAGTGAGGGACGAGTGTGTGCAGGTTTCAGGTGTATGGAAGTGAGTGAAAAGTTTGCACAGGTTTCAGGTGTGTGAAATTGAGGGACTAGTGTGTACAGGTTTCAGGTGTGTGGAGGTGAGGGACTAGTGTGCACAGGTTTCAGGTGTGTGGAAGTGAGGTACTAGTGTGCACAGGTTTCAGATGTGTGGAAGTGAGGGACTAGTGTGTACAGGTTTCAGGTGTGTGGAAGTGAGGGACGAGTGTGCACAGGTTTCAGGTGTGCGGAAGTGAGGGACGAGTGTGACCCCCTTGTTGCTGTGTCCCATCTCTGGAACGTCCTGTCTCTGTCCACCTTGTCTATTCCACGCAGTATTTTGTATGTCGTTATCATGTCTCCCCTATCCCTCTTGTCGTCAGGCCGATTTCCCTTAACCTTTCTTCATAGAACATTTCCCTTAGCTCTGGAACTAGCCTTGCTGCAAAACTTTGTACTTTCTCTAATTTCTTGACGTGCTTGATCAAGTGTGGGTTCCAAACAGGTGCTGCATACTCCAGTATGGGTCTGACGTACACGATGTACAGTGTCTTGAACGATTCCTTACTAAGGTATCGGAACGCTGTTCTCAGGTTTGCCAGGCGCCCATATGCTGCAGCAGTTATCTGGTTGATGCGTGCTTCCAGAGACGTGCTCAGTGCTATACTCACCCCAAGATCTTTCTCCTTGAGCGAGGTTTGCAGTCTTTGGCCACCTAGCCTATACTCCGTCTGCGGTCTTCTGTGCCCTTCTCCGATCTTCATGACTTTGCATTTGGCGGGATTAAATTCGAGAAGCCAGTTGCTGGACCTGGTGTCCAGTCTGTCCAGGACTCTTTGAAGTCCTGCCCGGTCCTCATCTGATTTAATTTTCCTCATTAACTTCACATCACCTGCGAACAGGGACATTCTGTGTCTATCCCTTCCGTCATGTCATTCACACATACCAAAAATAGCACTGGTCCTAGGAGCGACCCCTGTGGGACCCCGCTCATCACAGGTGCCCACTGTGATACCTCATCACGTACCATGACTCGTTGTTGCCTCCCTGTCAGGAATTGTGTGTGTGTGTGTGTGTGTGTGTGTGTGTGTGTGTGTGTGTGTGTGTGTGTGTGTGTGTACTCACCTAATTGTACTCACCTAAATGTGGTTGCAGGGTCGAGACTCAGCTCCTGGCCCCGCCTCTTCACTGTTCGCTACTAGGTCCTCTCCCTCTCTGCTTCCTGAGCTGTCATACCTCTTCTTAAAACTATGTATGGTTACTGCCTCCACTACTTCACTTGCTAGGCAATTCCACTTCCTGACGACTCTATGACTGAAGAAATACTTCCTAACGCCCCTGTGACTCGTCCGAGTCTTCAGCTTCCAGTTGTGACCCCTTGTTTCTGTGTCCCCTCTCTGGAACATCCTATCTCTGTCCACCTTGTCTATTCCCCGCAGTATCTTGTATGTCGTTTTCATGTCTCCCCTGACCCTTCTGTCCTCCAGTGTCGTCAGTTCGATTTCCCTCAACCTTTCATCGTAGAACATTCCCCTGAGCTCTGGGACTAGCCTTGTTGCAAATTTTTGTACTTTCTCTAACTTCTTGACGTGCTTGACCAGGTGTGGGTTCCAGACTGATGCTGCATACTCCAGTATGGGCCTAACATACACAGTGTACAGTGTCCTGAACGATTCCTTATTAAGGTATCGGAACGCTATTCTCAGGTTTGCCAGACGCCCATATGCTGCAGGTCTGTAGTCTTTGTCCACCTAGCCTATACTCTGTCTGCGGTCTTCTTTGCCCCTCCCCCATCTTCATGACTTTGCATTTGGCAGGGCTGAATTCGAGAAGCCAGTTTCTGGACCACATGTCCAGCCTGTCCAGGTCTCTTTGCAGTCCTGCCTCATCCTCATCCGATTTAATTCTTCTCATCAACTTCGCATCATCTGCGAATAGGGACACTTCAGAGTCTATTCCTTCCATCATGTCGTTCGCATATATCAAAAATAGCACTGGTCCTAGAACTGACCCCTGTGAGACCCCGCTCGTCACAGGCGCCCACTGTGATACCATTCAGCGTAGGATGACTAAATTAATACATAGCATTAGAAATCTTCCTTATGAAGAAAGATTGAAGACTCTTAAGTTACATTCACTTGTTAGAGGAAGAATGAGGGGAGACCTGATCGAAGTGTATAAGTGGAAGATAGGTATTAATAAAGGGGATATTAACAAGGTCTTGAGGATATCTCTCCAAGAGAGAACCCGCAGTAATGGATTTAAATTGGATAAGTTTAGATTTAGAAAGGACATAGGAAAGTATTGGTTTGGAAATAGGGTAGTTGATGAGTGGAACAGTCTACCTAGTTGGGTTATTGAGGCTGGGACTTTGGGTAGTTTCAAATTTAGGTTGGATAAGTACATGAGTGGGAGGGGTTGGATTTGAGTGGGACTTGCACATCGGAGCTTGTTTCTTGGGTGGCATTGAAAATTGGGTTCGTCAAATGTTTGTTAGTGGGATGAATTGTAAAGGACCTGCCTAGTATGGGCCAACAGGCCTGCTGTAGTGTTCCTCCTTTCTTATGTTCTTATGTTCACGTACCATGACTCGTTGTTGCCTCCCTGTCAGGTATTCCCTGATCTATTGCAGTGCCCTCCCTTTTACGTGCGCCTGATCCTCCAGCTTCTGCACTAATCTCTTGTGGGGAACTGTGTCAAAGGCCTTCCTGCAATCTAGGAAAACGCAATCAACCCACCCCTCTCTCTCGTGTTTTACTTCTGTTACCTTTTCATAAAACTCCAGAAGGTTTGTGACACAGGATTTGCCTTCCATGAACCCATGCTGGTTTTCATTTATAATCTTGCTCCGTTCCAGGTGTTCCACCACTCTCCTCCTGATAATCTTCTCCATGACTTTGCACACAATACATGTCAGAGACACAGGTCAGTAGTTTAGTGCCTCATTTCTGTTTCCTTTCTTAAATATGGGGACTACATTTGCTGTCTTCCATTTCTCATGTAGTTCCCCAGTTTCAAGGGATGTGTTGAAGACTGTGGTTAGGGGCATGCACAGCATCTCTGC